TGCTTCGCGACCTTTCCTGTCGCATCTTATTTAGCAACTTCAATCGTCTCAAAAAAAACGCACAAAAACGAATACTTAACCAAAATATAGAACGTTTTCACAATGCCGTTAAAAATTTAGAGCGTAAATGTACAACTTTTTAAAAATGTCCCTTTATGAAAACCTTAAAAATAATCAAGAGAAGTGATGGCGGTTCCCATCGCCAGCAATACTGCTCTGCAATATGGAGAAAATTCAGTTAATCCAATCCTCGTAATCACCGATGAAGAAAATTTGCTGTCGATGGGAATGCATGGTATATAACTTCAAAATCACTGGTGAACAGGCGTTCTATTCAGCGCTTTGACTCTTCCTTGAGAAATGAGGAGAGATGGACCAATTAGAAAGTAGCTTGCATAGAGTGACTCATACCTACAGACGTCACTCTCATGGGAGAGATTAGGGATAAAAGTTTGAAAAGCTGCAGGAAAACTTCCAAGGGCGGATATTGAAGGTTTCGGATTTTTGGTATCATCTAGACATCAACAGCTTTTGTTTGCAACAAAAATCAAGGAAATCGGTCCGGCGGCTCCTTAGAATTAAGGTTCACAAGGTTTCGACCCTTGCAGTTTTATTTATACATATAAAAGAAGATTCCACGACGTAACATCACATTTTACCACACCTTTTCTGCAAACAGCGCAATTTAACCCACACTTTTCCTCCAAAATATGTCGACCTCGTCAACTCTCTTGCCCCTACAGTTCACATTACCCTCAACGACTATGTAACACCGCTAACCCCCCCCCCCCCCCGAGAAGCCGCCCTGCTAAAAATTTCTCATGGGAATTTCACTCAGGTTGTTTTGGGTAGGGGAATGTCTCCCCTGAGTGGTGGCTCTCATGAGAAGTGGCTCCCATGGGAAGTGGCTCCCATGGGAAGTGGCTCCCATGGGAAGTGGCTCCCATGGAAAGCTCCCTAGTCCGTGCCCAAAATGCCGTCTCTGCTAGCAGAGCCATAGAAGAAAAAGATTAAGGATTAAACGCGAAAATTAATTCGTTCTATTGCCGTGGCATGGTTCAGACATGAAAGAAATTTAAAGCCACTATGTAAACCCCTGCAGTGCGGTCATTCCCAAGCGGTCTACCATCTAAGCATTAACTACGCCCGACGTTACTTATCTCCCGTGATCACCCGAGTGCCGCTGCCGTGGAGCTCCGGAGGCTCGCGTGTAAATCGTGAGTAATTTAGTAAGCATGAACATCCCCAGCGCCGCGCCGCGTTGATTCCATGATGGAAAGCAACGATATTCTTGAAAATGTCTACATTACGCAGTTTTAAAGAAACAAAAATAATAAAAAATTAGATCAATTTTTGGAAAGAAAGAAGTGAATAACACATGAATCAAAATAAAAAAGTATAAAAAGTTATTAACACAAAGACAAATAAATGAATGAAATTGAATGAAATAAAATAAAAAAGTACCGTCAAACGGGGCTACTTGGGACTACAGGCTAACATGGGACACTCGAGGGAATTTTCGCGTTGTTGTGTGTGGTAGCCCTGTAATGTTTATTTTTGTTCTTCTGATGCCATAACCTCATTCTACATTACTCCGGCATGGCTGTTCATGACCAAGAAGAATTTTGAAACCCAAATAAGTATTTAAAAAAAAATATTTGTCTCTTTAATATTTTTTCGTCATATTTGAACACCGTTATACTTTCCTGGGGATCTCAGTACCTTTCCACCACATGCAAACTTCTTATATGTGAGTAAGTCACAAATGTGCCTCTGTTGATGGGGTCTGCTTCAGTTTTACAAAAATTTTCGTTTTCATCCCCAAAATTTCCAAAAAACCAAAAAACTAGGAATCGCTGGGTAACATGGGACACCCTATTTTCTCCTTTTTAGTGATATCGTTTCCATGTTTTCCAATTCTACCTTGCATTACAGACTAAGAGGGAGGACCTATTGGCAGTGCTTTTGAGATAAGAGATTTCCTGGGTTATATTCAGGTTTTTATCAGTTAAGTAGGTACTGATCTGTTTATGACAGGTATTTCGTAATTTTACAAGAAACATGGTCCGGACGTACAAAAGAAAACCAGGCTCTTGGGCATACAGAGACTTCTCACAGAACTCATCGAAGAAAGCTGTCAAAGCAATTCGAAAGGGTGCTTCTCTGCGTAAGAGGGTAAGACGTCAACAAAATTTGGAATTCCGAAATCAACCCTTAACAGACATGTTCGCAATTTTTTGAAAGAATACTTTTCTTAATGCATACCTTTACTTACCTACTAAAGGTTGGTACCTACCTACTCAAACTGCCATAGGTGCCTCTTAGTTGATAACTTTGAAACGCTTTGACCTCAATATTAGCTTTAAGTTCCTCAAGGCTGTCATGCCATTTTTGTTTCCTACTTAATTCTTTAAAAGACTTGTTCAAATTTACCAAAATTGTATTATTTTATAGAGAAATGTTCAATTTACTTTTTTAAAAATTCAGTTTACTGTCCCATGTTGCCCTGAAAGAGCCTAAGATGGGCCAAACACTTGATTTTCATTCGTGTCCCAAGTTACCCCGAGTATCGGGGTAACTTGGGACAGTCGAAAATCGAAAAAAAAAAATATAAGGGGGGGGCATAAATTTTTTTTTCCTTTAAAATTCGATATGCGTACCAACGAACTACCTTTAGCACAAAAAAGTTTGGCAAAATAATGTATGGTTCGTTTTGGAGAAGCTTTTTTGTGCTAAAATCGTCCCAAGTAGCCCCGTTTGACGGTAAGAAATCTATAATATAAATTAAAATAAATAAAATTAAATTAAATGAACAAGAAAATTAAATAAATTAACCTAAATAAATAAATACATTGAATAGATTAAAGTAAATAAATGAATAAAATAAAATAAAAATAGATTAAAATAAATAAATCAAATCAAATAAAGCAGATTGAAATAAACAATTCATTAGTAGAAAAAAATGTATTTTCATAAATAAATAAAATATTATGTAAACATATATAAATTATGTAAATAAAATAGTAGTAGTGTATCGAATTTATACGGATCCATAGAATCTTTTTGGCTATAACGCACCTGAAAAATAATATGAAAATAAATAAATACCTAAATAAAAAAAATCAATAAATAAAAAGACAATAAATTTAAAAAAATCAACAAATAAATGAAATGGATTAAAAAATTAATAAACTAAAAAAAACCGATGAGACGGAAGTCCGCCAACCGAAACTTAAAGCTACGGGACGCGCGGAGACGGAGGGACAGGACTGAGGATCCCCAGACTCCCATGGGTGCATAGGGGATCCCCTGTCATTCGTTGGGAGCACAGGGGCTTTCCTTGCTATTTCTCAGGGAAGCACATGTGATCTCGTGTCCAGCCCCAGGGGAAATATTTTTATCAGGGTATAACTTATAAAGCATCTAAAGTAGATAAAGACGCAGTGTTTTGTCGCACTGTATCCGTTCCCAAGTTCGGTGACGTCTTTGTAGGACGCTGTAAGGTCCTGTATGCATTTCCCATGAATATAGTTCTGTGATGCTACACTGTGGTGGACTGCAGTCACACATGGGCCCGTGGCATTTTCCCCGATGTTCTATGATGATCCACGGGACACCGTGAGAGGTCCTGAAAGAGCACATATCCCAAGTAGCAGTGATCGCGATAAATTGCGATTTAATCGGAGAATGTATCGCGATTTTATCGACGTCGATTTATTGCAATATTATCGGATAAAAAATCGCGATAAATTGCGATTTCATTGCATTAAATTGCAATAAAATTTCGAATTCATCGAACGAGATTTTGTAGAGATTAAATTGAAATTTCTCATCAACGCCCAATAACGCATGAATGACGCTCATGAAAGATGTTCTTTAGCGGAGGTATAAGAACGACTCGATACGAGGTTCCCCGTTGGGAGGTACGCCCACACTGAGAAAAAATTCTCGGCATTTTTACCAAAGTCCGTTGGTAACTTTTCCATCTCACTCTTTTTTTACCAATTATCGGTAATGTTACCAAGGGAGACTGGTAAGCTTACCTAAAAACCGGTATTTTTACTGGTTTCTTTAGGTAGGAATATGTACCACTTTTATTGGTAATCAATTTACCGGTAACTTTACCATTTTATCTCGGTAATTCTACCACAGTCGATAAAAAATGTAGGTGTTTTTACCAAGGTCCATCGGTAACTATGCCATCTCACTATTATTGGTAATTTTACCAAGAATGACGGCTGAACCTAACGGCAATCGGCTAATAGCGTAAATACCCTTTTTTGGCGATTTTATCGGTGAAAAAATCGCTAGGATCATCAGCATCTGAGCGATCATCCTCGCAATAAAATCGCAATTTTTTCGGGCCTATGAAATCGCAATAAAATCGCGAAAAGATCGAGGATAATCGCTCAGATGTTGATGATCCTAGCGATTGTATCGCCGATAAAATCGAGGATAATCGCGATTTTATCGGCAATAAAATCTCGATTTTTCCGTTGAAAAATGCTGCTTGGGATACGGGTCACATATACACTCTCATGGGAGCGCGCGGGTCACATGTTAACTCCCACGGGAGCTCACGGGCTCCCCTGTCCATTCCCCAGAGGAGCACATGTGATCACATGTCATTCCCCTGGGAGCGCATGTGATCAAATGCCGTTCTCGTGAGAGCACATGTGAGCACATGCCATTCCCGCGAGATCGCATGTGATCACATGTCATTCCCATGAGAAATTTTTAGCAGGGCCTCGTAGCATACTATGTTCCCTTTTCTTGGAACTCTTTGCCATATAATGCAAATTTTTACTCGGCTACACTCACTCTGTTTTGGACACTTTATGCGCCAAAATTCCCATTTTTACCCCATTCGCCATCCACTTTAGGGTCATTAGAGTGCCCTCTAATGAAAGGCAAAAATACATAAGTTTGATAGGTTCAATATGGTTATAACACAGCTTATTACCAACATACAAAAGTAACGTCTTTCTTATGTGTCCTAGGGTGAGTCATCAAAGCACAAAGTAGAAATGACAATAATTAATCCAAAATCAATCACAAGCGGTCAATTATATGGGCAGTTTGATCCCATCTCCTGCGAATGGTCTGATGGCATTTTACCCGTGAGCTATAGACAGTTTGCCTCTTCCACTAATAATAATAGGTAAGTATTTTTTCTCCATCAAGAGAAGCGTCCAACTTCTGACCCCCAGCATTGGGATATCGTGTTAATATATTTATAAACCCTCTTTCTCTTATTTCTCGGTTTTACTTTTAAGAACATTACCCAACTGGATAAAGTTCCCCGTGCTTTAAATCTCTCTCAACAATTCGTTTATGAATTCGTTAAATTTATTTTTATTTTACTTAGCTGCTTTAAATGGAGTTTTGGCAAGCAGTGGGGATCATGAGGCAACTATATGCTTCCTGATACAAGACTTAGGAACATATTAACCAGATATTTTCAACAGATTGAAGCCCAGTGGAATGTCGATTTTCATTACCAAACACAGGTAGACACAAAAGAAATTCTTGTACCTATCACCCTTGTAGCAACGGTTCGTGAAAAACTCGTAAAAAAAATGTAAAGAACTTGTGAATTTCATTAACACATAAAAAACTCGTAAAAAAGTTGTAAAAGAAAGAAGTTTTTTACAAGTTTTCGTTTTTATGTAAGAAACTCGTAAAAAACTTGTAAATAACTCATAAAATTTACTTTTTATTTACAAGTCAGCTTTCAAAATTTTGACTCGTAAAAAACTCGTAAAAAACTTGTAAATAACTCATAAAATTTACTTTTTATTTACAAGTCAGTTTTCAAAATTTTGACTCTTGAAAAACTTGTAAAATACTTGTGAATAACTCATGAAATTTACTTTTTCTGAAAATCTTACCAAAAATACGAGTTTCCCGTCGTAAAGTACCCACGGATACCGAGTTTCACGAAAATCGAGCGAACAGGAGCTGACTTAGCATTTTAGGCCACGGCCGCCATCTTGGATTTTGAAATTTTGAAAATCTGACCAAAAATTCGAGTTTCCCGTCGAAAAGTACCCCCGGAAACTGAGTTTGACGAAAATCGAGCGAACAGGAGCCGACTTTGCATTTTAGGCCACGGCCGCCATCTTGGATTTTGAAATTTTGAAAATCTGACCAAAAATTCGAGTTTTCCGTCGAAAAGTACCCCCGGTCAGAAAGTTTCAAGTAAATCCGTCGATAAATACCCCCTAAAACCTGAAATTTCATCTATAATGCTGTGACGTCACGCGACAGGATTGAACCTGTTGAAATCTCGGTACAGTAGCTTTATATAATTCATACTTTCTAGGTATTTTAAAGGACAAAATACGAGGGCTGAAAAATAACTTTACGGATGAAACTTAGAAAGTTTTAGTTTCGAAAAGGTTTAAGTGCTCTGAATGAAGTAATAAGGACGAAGAACAAGCTGCATAACTACTAGTCGCTCCTAGAAGGGTTTGTAGGGATATTTCGACCTCGCTCTTCATCAGCAGCTATAGCTCAGTTGGTAGAGCGCTCGGCTGTGAAACCAGTCGCCGCGCGCCGTGGGTTCGAATCTCCACAGGTCCGCTCGAGATTTTACGCCGCATCATCTCTCGATTGGTGAGTCAAAGTGTTTAGTGTGTGTCTCTTGTCTCTCTAATTAACTTGTGTAATACTTGTATGTACTGAATAAACCACTAAATAGTTGATGATATGTGAAAAGAAAACTTGTACTCTTCACAAGTAGAGTGCGCTCCTGATCAATTTTTGGTATTATCTAACATGAGTTTCTCACTTATTTTTCATAAGCTTTTTACGTAAAAAACTCGTGAAATGATTCCCAATTCGTCAACTGGGAACTTTTTTTTACGAGTTCTTTACGAGTTCTGTATATGTTGCGCATCTTCATTTCACAATATTTTCAATTTTTTTTTACAAGTTTTTCACGATCCGTTGCTACAAGGGCAAGAGATGTTTAGGTGGTTTCTTTTCACCCTTTTGGTATCTTTACACACTAATTTTGTGCTTCTAATATCTTTTTTTGTTTTCTCAACTCTATGATTAGCATGAAATGACAATATTTTCTCCTATTTAACAGAAAATGGTTGATTTTTGATGGACCAATTGACTCTGTTTGGATTGAAAACATGAATACAGTTCTGGATAGCAGTCGCAAACTCTGCATAATGTCTGGAGAAGTGATTCAGTTATCTCCCACTACAAATTTAATTTTTGAAGCGATGGATCTCATGGCAGCATCGCCGGCTGTTGTAAGGAAGTGTTATCTTCTCTCACTTCTAAAGCGTTTAAGTATTCAAAATAATACTCGCACGTTAACGTAAAATATGAATTTCTACTTTAAAGATGAAATTAAGTCCTTACCGAAAAATCTGGCAATTTTCTCAAACAGAATTCAAAATTTGTGTACCTTTTTTATAACATGGAATGATACAGAGATTTTCACTTTTTCTCGAGGTTTACCGAATCGTTTGACTTGCAGTGTTTTCTAAATGCTCAGAATCTCTCCTCGGGAGGATGACGCTTGGGTAATTCTCCTCTCAACTTATGAATAATTTGTTTAAATAAAAGGAACTCCTTAATTGCCCGTGGCAGGTATGATTTGTAAAGTTTAGTTGTGTGGAAGGACCTAGAAAAGCAGATGGTTCAAGTGTGTATAGAAGATTTTATTGGTAAAAATTAAATTAAAAAGAAATTTTAAAAAATGGTAAAATTTAAATGGTACAAAATGCCTACTACAAATCAGAAACCAATTGAACTAAAAAAGTACCAACTTCTTTCATAAGAGGCAGATAATATTTGTTTACAAAGCCTATTTTTTAAAACAAATATATTTGCTTATCTTTCTTTTAATTCTTCGCAAAACCCTCAAGAATCCGAAAAACTTGTTTTCTCTTAACCTGGCCACTTGTTACTTAAAATAATAGTGCTCACTTGAGTCGTCATAATAAAATTTGACGGCATACGATGCAAAATGAAGAATTCACGATTTAGGCATAGGCGAGATAAAAGGGACAAAGATGAGGTTTCACATTTGATTGGGTCAAGAGTTATTATAAATTCGATGAGAGGTCATTAGGTCTACAGGTAGGGAGTCTCCAGTAAGAAAGTATATTTTTTCTGGTCTTTCACCATTAGGTCTCCAAAATCGAGTTTACAAACTACAGTGGTCTACTCGTTTTTTAGATTATAAAAGAATACCGTCTACACAGTTTAAGCCTCCGAAAAAAATTAGTAAAAAATTACCGAAAGTTAGTAGGTACTGCGTACATTTTAGACGGGGAATTTCACTTCTTACGGGGGAAGACTACTATTCCCTAGCTCCGTCTTCATTGTCATCATCATACAGCTGCGTGCCGTCTCAGGTGGTGACCGACGCGACGCCTCTAAGGAATGCGATTAAGTCATTGTCGTCCTTGTACGCTTGGTAGTTGAACACCATAGTTTCAAGTTGTTCATTGTGCTGGGAATAAGACTTGGGGATGGGATGCTTGACTTGACGATGACCTGCTAGAATCTGCAGAATCTTGTTCATCGAATCGTGCTGGTCCTTTCTGACAGCATCTAAAAATTTCCAAATTGATGCATGGTGAGTTATCAGCATTCGATGAAAGCGTGAGTGCCACCCTTCGACTGGATTTATTGTGCGTTGAATGTCATTCAGAACCAATGTGTTGATATTACACAGAGAGGGTGGAAATAATGGTGGCATAGAACGGCGTCGTCCTCTAGCTGGTCTTTCTTTCACGTACGTGGTCTTAATCGCTCATAGGCATAACTTTACCTTCTAAAATTTCTTCCAGCGCAATAATTATTTTCACCACGTCGCGCTGAGGAGCGAAAGGCAATGACATCAAACATTGAATGTCACTCCTTATAGTCGCATTTTCTTCGTCATCGTAATCTTCCTTCAATCCGTTTGAAACGACTCGTCACCGAATGGCTTGGGTGAAGTGAAACAAACAAACTTTATGAATAGCATTCGGCAGATCTTCTTTAACTGCTTTGACAGCCTTAGCTTCCATGTCCGTCTTGGAGTACCTACTGTGGTTGAAGCTGCAGTGCCAGGCGTAAGTTGCATGCATAATAATTCTACTTGGGAAGGAATGAGTTGTACGTTACTTTATTTTTCCGAGTGCACAGGCAATAGACGAATGGATACACGTACTGCCATACTTGTCCATGCATTGTATACAGTTGATAAAAAATACCAGGCACAGTTTTGAATGTTCAATCATTGAAAATTATTGTACTTCGTGCTAGGTAAGTCAAGGTCGCGGACGCGAAATTTAAACACGATCAGGGTCATTCATTCCTGAATCGAACCGAAGGAATACGTCCCTGCCTTCGTGGTATTGTAAGGAGGAAGGACTTGTAATTCTGCTAAGAGCTGGGGTAGTGGTGGGCATGCCTTGTTTTGGTGTCTATTCACATTTCTCAGCAAAGCCTATCTTTCAGGTAAAATGGCCAAAGTTTCCTCGGGGACATTCTCAGTATTGTCTTGTACTATACTTATAGGAGGGTCGTTTGGTCACTGTTCACCCGATTCACGAATTTCTGTTGTGATCTTCTCAGCTCTGACCTCAGCCTCAGCTACATCAGGCTCTTGAGTGTGCAAATTTGAGTCCGTATGGATAATTAAATCCGTATTCACTTCAGTATTATTGGTAAGAATTGTAGAATTACCAATAGTACGGTGGGTACGATCGAATAATGGCCAAAACCCTGCACTTTTTGATTGGAAATTGCCGCTTTCAGGAATCATTCTTAAGGTCAT